GAAAGGGAAGGAGATAGTCTTTCTAGCGCGAGCCTTCTTCCCGACGCCGGCCGGGAGACTTTCGACAATCACGCGAGAGGACTCCCATGAACGTCACGACCGGAAGGCTTCATGCGTAGCTTCCGGATAGGTCTAGAACCGCAAATCCGCGTTCAACGCAGGGAAGGCGGCAGCAGTTTCCGGCTTGTCAGGTGAAAGGTCACGCTAGAGTTTCCTGTTGGGGCCGGGTGTTGCTAGGAGGATTCGCTTCTCCCCTCCACCCCCCCCCGCCATTGGTTCCTGCTGCAGGCCCGAGCCTGTGTCGTCCATCCCGGCTTACAGGGGGTAGGGCCGGCGCTCGTTACCCGGCAACCCCACGTGCCTGAACGGCCGGGGATGCTAAGGCGGGGGACGTTGTGCCGGGCGCTGGGCGGTGTCCTCGAGCCCAGAGCTGAGCCGAGCGGCCCGAGAGCGTCCCGCGCTAACAGCTCTGCCCCAGGCCCGCTGGCTGCCTCCTGCGCAGTTCCCTGCCCGCTCAACCTGCGAGCCAGCACAGCGCCCGGCTGAGTTCTTTCACCCAGTAGGATACGATTTCTCACTGGCATGGGCAGGGAGATGCCCCTTAACAGAGGGGACATTGAATTATCCGTGTGGAGGTACTCATTTACATTTTCAGTACAAACACCAACTCCTAAGGTTTTTCCAGCTCTGGTAACTTCGTCATGATTGTTGCAGTACCTGGGGGTTGTCTTGAGCGCCAGTTGTTCAGGGCCTCTGCAGGGATGTGAAGGGTTGACTGGTGGGGTTGGAGCAACTTGCCACCTGCTGTGGGGCCACGAGGGGGGGGGCACTACAGACAGGGGCTGTTCCAGGGTCCTGCAGAGTTACTTCTGTCCACCACAGGCCCGGGAGCCCCAGAGACTGCTCGGATCAGGGTGCCCTAAGCCCCCATATGCCTCTCTTCATGTTGCCTTCCAGAGCTCTTTATTCACACCTCTGATCTTACTCACATTCCAGTTATATTTTTAGTTGTCCCCTCGCCTACCTCCACCCCCCATATTTAGTTGTCTTCAGAATTTATGGTTTCTCCCCTTCTTTGGGGAACCACGCTCCCTCCTTGGAATTCAGTCAGGCTCTTCTATGTCTCTTCTTGTTTAGTAAGTTATATTGAGATAGAACATAGATAAAACATGTTGGCTGTGTCTACATTGGCACCCCTTTCCGGAAAAGGGATGCTAATGAGACACTTCGGAATTGCAAATTCCGTGGGGGATTTAAATATCCCCCGCGGCATTTGCATTCACATGGCTGCCACTTTTTTCCGGCTCGGGGTTATGCCGGAGAAAAGCGCCAGTCTAGACATGATTTTCCAGAAAATAAACTTGAAAGTAGGAATAAGGGATCTTCCGGAAAAGGGTTTATTTTTCGGAAAATTGCGTCTAGACTGGTGGTTTTCTCCGGCATAACCCCAAGCCGGAAAAATTTGCAATTCCGAAATGTCTCATTAGCATCCCTTTTCCGGAAAGGGGTGCCAATGTAGACAGCCATTCTGTTTAGTGATGTTAAAGGTTAACTGGGTAATGCTTATCTGTTCCAGATAACTGGTAATGGGAGGGAGGGACTGTGGGGCAGTTCCTGCTATGGGAAAGAGGCTACTCTGTGGACAGGGGCTGCTATCATCCTGAGCAGCCTCTGTCCACATTGGGAGCCCAGGCCTGCTGCAACCAGTGGCTGTTCTGGGACCTGCCATGGACAGTGGCTGCTTTGTCGGAGGGTTGGGAGCTGGTGGCAGTCCCAGCCCCCCTCCCCCATGGGGTGGGGGTGGGAGCCCCATGGGCTGAAGGCTGCTCCAGCTGGGTTTGGAGCAGTCCCCAGCCCAGGATCCCACTTTTAGTCAGTTAACTGGTTAAATACTAGGTAAATCTAACCTTTAACCATTAACTGATTAACTGAGAACAGATAGAGCCAGAATTAGGGATCTTATAATCAGTTCTGAAGCAGAAGAACTATTATGGTTACTGCTATAGCAAACGAGCCATGCTCAACCAGCCAAATAGCCACATTGTTCAAGACAACTAGCCTCACTTAGCCAGCCAAATAGCCACATGGCTAGAGTGTTGGACACCATGCCTTTAACACATGCTATGTCAATTTACAGCCCTAATTAATGTTTCATAACTGTATGAGAGTCCATGACCCCATTCAGTCTTGTTTATCAAGTCTAGATGCTATCTTTAGAGGATCATAGCTAGTATTGTACTTCACCCTATTTTTTCTGATTAATGTTCAGTAGTGGAATGGGTCCAATTAGCAGAGGCATTAATCAGAAATGCCATCACATCAAATAATCTAGAGATTCATTCTTTGAGTCTTATGTCATTTCTTGACCTCTCTTCAGAGAGGTCATGTTGTAGTTCAGGTAGCCAGTTCTGCTCTCCTCTTAGCCATAGAGGTTTTTGGTTCATTAGAAACTTAGTAAATTAAATGCCAGAGTAAAATTTTAAGGCATAAGTAAACACATGACCATATATCTGGAAAGTGCTCTGACTGATTTTACAAAATAAATAGCAGCAGAGAGCCCTGTGTATTGAGAACTGCGGCCTGCTTCTAAATCTTTCTTGTATTTATAATTTATTTTAACCTGTTCATTTTTGCAAGCTAGTACAGTAGGTGGGAATCCTGGCCAATGTAACTGTATTTTCCCTATTGTTATATTCTATCATCTCTCGTTGCCCAGCTCCCCTCTGAAGGTTGTCTTGATTTCAGATTGAGGTACTAAATAGGGAAGTTGGTTGCCTCTCTTTTTTGGGTACTACAGGAGAACACTTTAAAATACAGGGAGTCCCCGGGTTACGTACAAGATAGGGACTGTAGGTTTGTTCTTAAGTTGAATCTGTATGTAAGTCGGAACTGGCGTCCAGATTCAGCCGCTGCTGAAACTGACCGCCAGGTTGTCTTGATTTCAGATTGAGGTACTAAATAGGGAAGTTGGTTGCCTCTCTTTTTTGGGTACTACAGGAGAACACTTTAAAATACAGGGAGTCCCCGGGTTACGTACAAGATAGGGACTGTAGGTTTGTTCTTAAGTTGAATCTGTATGTAAGTCGGAACTGGCGTCCAGATTCAGCCGCTGCTGAAACTGACCGCCA